GGCCGGGGCGCCCCGCCAAGCAGAACGCTCCTGGCACGCCTCCGCCGCGGCCCCTTTGAGAACGGGCGGACCCCCCAATTCCGACCCGCGCGCCCGTATCCGCCTCCGGGCCCTTCGCCAGACACGCGAGCCTCTCCTGATTCAGACATTCCGGAGAAGGGGGCTCTGCGTCCCAAGCAGATCGGCTGCGTGCCCGCAGCCGCTTCCCGGAGGGGCTACAGGGGGCGGGGGGGGGGCCGTGGAAACAGCAGGAGACCGTCCCAGCAGCCTGGCCGGGGCTCGTGGCCCTCTAGGCTGGGAATGTCCCGGGTCATAGGATCGCAGGCGCCTGCCGTCCAGCTGCCCCCGGGCTGATTCTGCCCCACAGCCAGGCCCGAACCCGAACTGGACCTCTGCGGCAGCACCGCCCCCCTCTCCGGCACCTTGCCCCCAAAAAGGGGCCTGGGCACCGGCAGGTTTGTGTGTGTGCTGGATCGGTTGACGCCTCCGGGCAGCGCGCAGTAAGTCCAATCCCTCGATTAAAAAGCACATTAAAAACCACACAATAGCCCCGGCCAAATCAACACTCCCAACCTGCAATGCTCGACCGTTGGGGAGATCTTTGGGCTCCGGGGGAATCCTGTCATCCTCCCATCAGCACCCTGAGGTTAACCTGAGCAATCCAGAGATCATGTACTCCGCCCAGCAGTGCAAGTGTGTCCCCCCAGAAAAAAACTTTAGCAAACACTAGATATCTGTAGATAGCAAGCGTGATGGGTTTGACAGCTCAGCGGAGGGTGTGGTTTGGGAGAGAGTCCCACAGAATTTCTCCCAGCCTTGACAACAGCCACCTTCCCCGGAAAGGTGCAAAGCCACCTCTTTGCTGAGGCCCCTGCTTTGCTTTCAGGTCGAACGTGTCCTGTGTCTGAGTAAACCACAGGATTGCGAGGGAAAGCCAGTCAAGCTTTGTGAAGCAATTTCGGTTTCCCTAGCCTAAAAATGCAGGACCTTCATTTTATGCAAGGGGGATAATCGCTCAAGGATTCATTAATGGTCCTCCCAGGTGGCTTCAGATTGCAGTGAAGATCCGAGAAGGGATGTTGTCTGTCCTCAGCATAGGAGGGCACATGCCCACTTCCTACTCTAACCAGTCAGGGTCATAATCCAGATGGTCCCAAGTGATCTTGGGGGGGGGGGGATGAGTGAAACATTCCCTGTCAGCATTAGCCCCAAAGGAGCATCTTAGGGCCCCACACGCTTGACCTTCTACAAGGACCCATTTTTGAAAAAGGCCCCCGCCTTGAGGAGCTTGTAGCCTAAGTGGCCACATTCGCAGCACCAGATTGCCACAATATGGTTGGGTGGCAGTTCACAGTCCTGTAAATCTAATCAATTGTGGTCCATCCAATAAACCATGGGCAGGTCAGCCATGGTTTAGCTAACAGTATGAACCAAATGAACAGAACAGAGGCTGTGGAGTGGGAAGGCCAAGAAGGGGGGAGTGTTCACAGGTGTGGTGGTGCCTGTGTGTCAGACAAATCCAATGGCAATAGCAACCATGCAACTGAAGCCCCACAAGTGTGACCATCCTGAAAGTTTTAACCTCACCCCCTGGGAAAATGCACTTGATCCACAGCTGAGCCCAGAGGATCGGTCCTGGAAGGTGGAAGGGTTTGAGCAGAGAACCAGTTTGGTCTTGTGGTGAAGGTCCTGGGCCAGAAACCATGAGATGGGGAGTTCTAGGCCTCCATTTAAGGATGAAAACCAGCTGGCTGACCCATAAAACCCACCTCACGGGGTTGTTGTGGGGAAACCAGGAGGCAGGAGTATTAGGTATGTCAACCCCCTTGAGTGATATAACTCGAGGTGGGATAAAAATCTAATGATAGTATTTGGAGGGGTCTGTGTCCAGGAGAACAGAATTTTGGTCTCAGTTGATTGCAAAGTGGGGTGGGGGGAGGCACTAGGATGCCTTTGCAGCTTTGGGGAGGGAGAGGCCGGAGGGCTGAGCCCCCACCTGCCCCTGGCCTCAGGCTTGACCCAGGATGCAGGAGGGGTGTGAGGGCACATCCAAGCAGGACTACTGGGGGGCTGGGATGAAAGAGGAGTGCAGCTGGCCAAAAGAATTATCCATGAGAAAAAGCTTTCACCTGCAGCAAGGGGCCACTGACAGATGCCACTGATGTCACAAAGGAGCAAAGGAGACACTTTTTCAGCAATTGGAGCAATTCTTTGGCGTCCTTCTATTTATAATACAATTGAACAGCTGTTGCCCCCACCACCACCTTTAAAAAAAAAACAATTCTGTCCTAACACTAATTTGTTAGTATATTGTAGGGATCTATTTCTGTTTTATTAGGTTACACAACATGTAACAATAGATTTGACTCCTAGTAACTTGCACTGAGAAATGCTCACCATCTTAAGAGGTCTTCCAAGGACCCCCCTCAACTTTTCTACCCGAGTTCCCTCAACGTTGCCAACCATAATCACTTCTCCTAATTCATCCGCCACATGTCCAAAATCTCAATTTCTTCTCGCCAGTTATCACCTCAAGAAAGGAGACTATCTTTAGGTCAGTGTTTCTCAACCTTGGTGGCTTTAAGATGTGTGGACTTCAAGTCCCAGAATTCCCCAGCCAGCATGAATTCTGGGACTTGAAGTCCACATATCTTAAAGCCACCAAGGTTGAGAAACACTGCTTTGGGTGGCCCAGGAGTGATTGACAGGGTCTGTTTGTGGCACGCTTAGGAATTATCTCCCAATCCATAATCTTCCCTTTCTCATTCAGTTTCCAGCTTTCACCCAGTGGCATCTCCAACTGGAAAGACCTTTTCTGATCTTTGTTGGCATGGAAATGTCCTTCATGACTTGGTCTGGCATTCTCTCTCTCCCTGGTATCCATCTCTTTACTTCTCCAGCAGACCGTCTTCATCTACTCTTGAGCCCAAGAAAACACCACCATCATCCCTTTCACTTCTTCAGCGTTAACTCTGAGTTCCTGAAGCAGGCCAATGGACAAGACTTTTGCCCAACTGCATAATCCATATTAAGCAAAGCTTAGCTTGATGAATTAATCCAGTGATCAGTAATTGGTGCATTATCCTTGTGAGGAATTTTCTTAATATGGTACAACACACAGAAACAAAGACTGTTTTTCCCCCCCAAAACCGTTTTATTGTACAAAATTAGACTCCTATCTTATTCTACCATCTTCCTATAAATTTACAGCTATTTCTGTTCTTAATCTATACATTTCTGCCTTTGTGTTCTGTTTCTATGTTCCTACGCCTCGGTTAGCACTATGTTTTCCTGTCTGAACTATTTCTTAGCCCTTTGGGTCTTTGCTTTTCCCCCGGGGGTTCAGCTCTTGTAGCCAATCCCAGTCCTTTGGCACGCGAAGACCCTTTTCACGCCTCTGTAGACTTGTGAATGGGCTTTTCTCTCCCCCCACCCCCAGCACTCCCACTCCTCTCTTCCTGGAGCTGGGGGGTGGAGCTCTGCCCCTGGGCTGCTGCACGCCATGGCTTGGACTCCAGTCGGGCACGGGCACGTTTCCTCCCCGTCTCTCAGCTCTGCCTCTCGGCAGTCTTGCAGCTCCAAGAACTGAAGTTTTTCTTGCTGTCTGAAGACGGCTGTGGAGGGGCTTGTCCTTGGGTTGTAGTTTCTCTTTCCCGCATCTCTGCCGCTTTCCTGGCTAGGCACACCCGCACATGCTTGCCTTCAGCTCCCTTTCTGTGAAAGGAGCCCTCCCGTGAAGGAGAGGGTGGGGCTTTCCCCCCCCCCCCCCCCGTAGCACCAGAACTTGGAGCCCAGGAAGGAAAAATGCCTGCCCAGCGCAGGCGGGGAGTTCGCTTTTCCACAGTCCTGAGTCTCCTTTTCTCTCTCTTTTTAAACCACGTTATTAAAAGTTTTGATTACAATAATAAAAAATGATATGGACTAAAAAAGAAAGAAAAAAGGGGTGCAAAAAAGGAAAAAGACAACAAAAAAAAAGAACCCCCCCAAAAAGCAACTTCCCACCCTCATCCCAACAAGTATAAACAATTTCACTATCTCTTCACCTCCTCTTAATTAACAAATATAAAACTCTTCATCCCACAGCTCAACCTTTAACTATAGGCAAGTCCAATAACTAACATCTTCTCCAGTCCAGGTATCAGCAAAAAGTCCAAACAGTGCCCTAAAATAATAACATTAATTAACATATATAAAACTCAACATCTCAGTTCTTAACTGTAGCCAAATCCACATTTAAAAGGCATAAAGTGGTCTCAATATCCAAGTGTGAACAAAAGTTTAACATGAAAAAAGGGACATTTTCTCCTTTAAAGAAAACAAGCTCATAAATATCCCTTACTTTAAGTAGAAACCAATTAAATACAAAGCCAATTAAAATGCTATCAGATTAGAGTACATAAAATAACTGTAGGGGAAAAGGCTTAAACATAATTTTAACTGTAATCAGACCCACTACACAATATTTTTCCATTCCAGATGTCAGCAAATCCAAAGAGAACCGCCCCAAATAATGTCCCATTTAAATAAACATTCCATCTCTCAACTCTTAATTATAAGCAAATCCACATTTAAGAGACATAAAGAAATCCCAGTATCCTAATATAAACAACATACTAAAATTTAACATGACAAAGAGGAGTAATTTCTCCTTTAAAGAAGACAAGCCCACAAAAATTCCTTACTTTAAGTAGAAAGACATTTAAGTACAAAGCCAGTTTAAACAGTATCAGATTAGAATACATAAAATAACTATAGGCAAAAAGATTTAAACACCGTGTTAACTGTAAGCCAATACATAACATTTTTCCAGTTCAGATCTCAGCAAATCCAAAAAGAACCACCCAAAATAGCAACATGTCCCATTTTAACCTTGGTCAAATAAACGGACTTTGTCTTTCTTTTTACATTAAACAACCTTGCTCTTTAATCCATTCAGATTGTTGTTGATCTTGTTTCCAGTTTCTTCAAAACTTTAAACAGCCTTTTTTGTGAGTCCAGCAAAAAGAAATTATTTCAATTGCTCTTTGGGATTGTCATTTTTATTTCCTTTTTAAAGTTTAAAGCCTCACCCAGTTTTTCTTTTTTGTCTGATGACAAATTCTTATTCAAACTCTTATTCAAGTTGTTCTCAGGCATAGTTTGCTGCATATCTTTTTCTGTAACATCTCCTTCTGGGGACAGCATGTTTCCAAGAAGACACAACATAGCTGACCTTATTGATTCAAAATCTGAATGCAATTCCTCAAAAATGCCTCTAAACGCCATTATAAGTTGCTTGTCTTGTTATGTCACCAATATCAAAAACAATTCTTCTTTCCCACAAAAATGTTTCTTTAAAATTAAAGTCTTAATATTTAAAATCCCATATTCCAACATTTTCTGAGCCCTTGATCTGTTTAAAACTTTCAGAAGCCAAAACCTTGTCTTGCTTTTGCTGTTTATTTTAAATTCTTAAAGATTATAAAAATACATCTTCATTTTCTTGTATTAAAGATTGAAGGCATTCACCCAGTGTATTTCCAGCCTTGCCATTTTGGAGGTGTCTAACTTCTTTAAAGCAGTTAATAGGCAATTTCCAAAAACAGTTGGCAAGGGGAGTGCAAACTTAGGGTCTTTTGAAAAGGCTCTGTTTGCAGCTGGAGCAAGTATGGCAAATTCCCTTGGCTCCTGATTCTTCTACCCTCTGAAGATTGCTGCTTTGCATTCTCCTCGTGAGAAGCAACCGCATGGAGCATAGCTTGGACAATCTTGCATCCTCTCTTTATCCAGAGAGGGTCGAAGGAGCCAATCTAGTCATTGGCTCCCTGTCTTTTGCTGCACATGTCGGCTCTGCTTTTTGCAGAGCTGTCTTCAGTCCACCATTCTTCCCCAGAAGTCCCTGCACCTCCCTTTCTCATTATAGGTATAGACACTGATCTTTTCCAGTCTGAAGGAATATTCTTTGAGAAGGTCACCAGGGAGGTTCAAGTCCATCTTTCTGAGCATAAAATAACCCAAATCCCTATCCAATGTTTGAAAAAAAACAAGAAGGAAAAAATAGGCAGCTCAGAATCTGGAAGGTAACATCCCTCTTGGAGTTACCTTCCCCATCCTAGTGCCCTCCAGATGTGTTGGACTAACTCCCAGAATTCCACCTGGAGGACTGTAGCTACAAAAGGTCACTGTCCATAGTGATGAAAAATCTGTTAAAGAAACAATTTGCAGACTGCCATAGTAGAGTTGTATGGACATATTTTAGTCCTCCCCCCCTCACGGGAGTCCTTATGAGCCTGTCATTACAGACTTGGCTGACTCTCAAGCGTGACGTTACCAGAAGAACAAGAAATCCCCGAGACAGCTGAGCACAGCCTGGAAAGAACCTTTGGGCCTTCTCAGAAAGCAAGGCCAGTCCTTCGGCCAGGCAGTTCCTTTCCAACTAAGGCCCAGTCAGCATTTGAGTGGGATACCATGATTGTACTCCAAAGGTAGTGGATATGGCCAGGACAAAACTAAATGTGATTTAATTTACATTTTAGTGTAATTAAAACTGACAAAGCTAATATAAATCACCTCCAGTCATATATTTAGTAGTTTTCTTTTTCTGCCATATTAAAAATTACAATTTGGTAGGAACTTTAGGAGCACCCAGTAAGTTGGGCTTTGCTGGTTTCATTACACATCAAGTACTGTTGGGACAAAGACACATGTAATGACAGATTGTCCCCATTTTTAAAATATAAAATCCAATTGTTGGTTTGGTTTGTCACCAGCTGTTGCCAAGACACCTTGGAAGGGACAGAACAAAATGAAGGGGAAACACTTCCTACACTAACCAGAAGTGTCCATCGTCTTGTCTTTTCTAACCCTCTACCCCGATGCCTTTGAGATTAATGTTGGTAGGAAAAAGAAATCATAAAAGTCTCTAGAAGGAAGGACACCACGAAAGAATAAGGTCCAATCTTCCTTTCCCCAGGGGATTAAAATGGCAGGTTTGTCTGTTGCAGTAAAAGCAACAGAGTCTTACAGCCTCTCAAAAGGCACACATTTCTTACGCATCACCTTTATGGGGCTAGAGATCATCAAATGCATAGAGCATGATTTTAAGATAGACATATTATGTAGAAACCAGACTGTCATTTCAATGGGTGGGGAGGAAGAGAAGAGAGAAAAGATATCCTCCTGACCTCTCCTTTTATGGTCTCCCCATAACAAAGGGGGCAAAGCATGGCAATGGTCTTTTAAGATAATTTTCCACGTGCTTGATCCAGGTAGCTGTAGGCGATGAAAACATATGTTACAAAACATGGGTGAGTTTTTAAGGTGGCATCAACCTCTTTGCTGATTTTGCTCAGCTGTAAGACACTGATTCTGAACCGCTCATTCAGAGAGACCATGCCATATGTGCAGGGCCAGCGTCCCCCTTGCTGGTATCAATGCCCGTGCGTGTTGAAGGACACCGGTCTGCAGAGGGCTTTCCTGGAACAAGGATGGTCTTGACTGCAAGGGGTCTGGTGCAAGGTGGAGCAAAGGGAATCGCTCATTCAAATCCCTGGGGCCATTTCAGGCAGCTCTTGGCATTTTTGCTTCTTCCTGGCAGGCTGGGGGGTGGATGCCTGTATAAAGGAGGGGGGTGGGGTTAATGGAGTTGAATGGGAGTTGAAGCCTACCTATCTTAAAGTTGCCAAGGTTGAGAAACACTGATCTAACAGGAAAAGGAAAGCAGTGCCTCAACTCTTCCTCTCTACCTCCGAGCACAACTAGGCAATTCAGACCCAGTGGCTGAATTCAGAGCACGCTGCGCTTCACTAGTGTCAACCGGGTTTACATTTAATGGCTTAGCAGATTGTGTGGACCTAGTCCCTTGCCTATGATATGGACCAACGTATCCTGCGAAGGCAGCTGGTACCTTTCAAGCCTTCTTTTCCGTTGGGGGGCGGGAGGGGGGGACTTAAAAATTACCCAAGTGGGAAG